AAATATGAATAAAACATTTATTCGTTGTGCTGGGGTGTATAATAAGTTGGTTTGGCAATGCACTATATTGTGTGGGCTTAGGTGGTGTGTTAAAATCAGTCCACATTGTTAAAAGCAGATGTCTCTAATGGTCATAGTCTCTTTCCCCCTCCCTCCCTGGTCTGTCAATGTTTTACACACACTTATGCCACATTCCGAGCCTCTTGAGCCCAAACTGGTATTCTGTATGTTATTGCACTACATGTCTAATGAAGCATGAGAACTGTTTTGAATAAAAATGTATTGTTATATTGGTAAGATGGTAGTTTTAGGCCTGTTTCCACCAGAGGAAATTTTGTTGGGAAACAGGAATCTTTTTCAGAATGTAGTTCCCCTACCTGAGTTTGTTCTGGAGGATCCAGGGTCTAAATTTAGTTGTGGGGTGTAGTTCTACCCCCCAAAAAATGTCTAGTCAGGGGGTGGTACTTTCTGAAGGTCCAAGAACTACCGATGGGGGTTGGGACCGATGCAGTGCTGAACATTGCTCACTGGTCGAATACAGGGCTCTACGGTGCGAGGCTTTCACTTGTGTGTGCGAGTACTGTAAAAATCATCGTGCGCCAGTGTGAAAAGTGATGTGGGCGTACTGATGAAACTGACTCCGAGTTTCTTGGATTCTCAGTTTGTAAGGAGCATTTTATCAGCGGGCCTACACGAAGACACCAGTGAGTGAGGTTAGTGGGTTGGAAAATATTGTTTTGGTGTTTGTGGAGCGGCTTCGCCTGGTATTTGACCTGAGGGCTGAGCTCAGCTCCTCCACACACGGAGCGCAGCAGGCAGATGCTGCGGAGGAGAGCGTGACCTCATCTGAAGTGAAACATGACTCAGAGTTAACAGTCCCTATGTTTCTTACTGTATGTGCAATAAACCTTGGCCAGTTAAAAAACCCACCGATTAAATGAACATAAACCTACAGAAAAGTGATCATTTCAGCTTGGCCTGCAGTCTGTCCTCCACCGCCGGGATGTGTTAACCATAACGAGCATTTTACATGTGGCATTCTTACAACCCCGCCACTGACTGTCGTGCTCTTACGTCAGTGGGCTAATTTGTTTAATCTTCCCTGGGCTTCGGTCCTGCTGTGGAAATGCACAGCACAATGCGCTCAAGGAACATTTACCACAGGGACAGTTCTTGGGCTTTAGTTCCTGGGAATAAAAAGTACTGGGTGTGCTCTGATGAAAACACAGCTTTTGTTTGTTTTTCTGTTTTTGCCAGGTTGCGTGTGTTTTTTCCCTGACATGTTGCATGTGTTGTTATTAGTTTCTTAGGTCCAGATTTGGGAAGCATTTTTAAGAAATAATAGATTTACATTTTAAGTATAAAGAATAGCACCTAAAGTTTTTATCATGTCCTCACTTCATTCTTGTGTCAACATTTTACCGTGTTTTGTACAACACTCTCTCAACAGTTTACTGGTACATCTCAAGTAAAACAACTTGAGATCTGTGTGGATACAGTATCAGTTTTATTCTGACAAAACTCCTTAAAAGAGTCAGTCTTGAATCCTTGAATTTGATTTAAAAGGCATTAAATGTTCCCAAGAAGTGAGTGAATTTAGTGTGTTTATTCCTTTCTAAGAGTAAGAACATTTGTCTAAAATATGACTAACCATTTTATTTCACTCCTTAACCTATTTTTGCTTACAACTTTTGAATCATTGGTTGAAGGGACCATGTGGAAAAAGTTAAGTCTGAAACTAAACAAGACAGCATCGCTTTTACTGTCCACAACACTTTCACAACTTCCACAAATTTGTTTGCAACATTAATTACAAATACCAAAAAGCAAGCAACCGTTGCAAAAACTAGAATCGGCCACAACCCGGACCAGTTTGCCACCCTGGCCAGTGTAACTAGTGTTTGTTTATTGGTTTGTTTTTTCCTGCAGAACCAGCAGTTCAGCCATGTCCTAACAAGTACTTTGAGAAGTAACTATGAAGTACTATGTGTTTATGGGGTCTGGTCCCTCTCTCTTGTTCTTACACTTTTTCCCCTCCCTTTCTTCCTCTTGTTTTTATCTCACTCTTCCCATATGTTCATCTTCTTCCATTCTTCCCTTGCTGTTTCTCCCTTCCCTGATCTGCCATGGTCTCTCCTCCTCTGCTTAGGGTTTTGACAGAGCTTGTAAGCAAGATGAGAGACATGCAAATGGACAAGACAGAACTAGGATGCCTTCGAGCCATCATCCTCTTCAACCCAGGTACACAGGAGGAATGTTGAACATCATGGAAAATCAGTTCACCAAATCAAAGTGATCAAAGGAATTTCAGAATGAGAAATGTAAAATGTGTTTCATTCGTAACTGTAGATAAATGTTCTCTGTTTTCCCCTGAAGATGCCAAGGGTTTGTCCAACCCCAGTGAGGTGGAGCTCCTGAGAGAGAGGGTGTATGCATCTCTCGAGGCTTACTGCAAACAGAAGTACCCCGATCAGCAGGGCAGGTAGGCTAGAACAACACTACATTTTGTTTTGTGTTCCCATTTGTAGAGTAGGCAATAATTGTAAGGTAACGTGACCGTGTTTGCCCTAGACAACGTCTGAGCATGTCAACACACTGAACATAAACTAAGCTTAACACTAGATATAATTAGATACTGTGATGTTGACGATCTTGTTAGCATCTTATGTATCCCAACCCACTTGACTCCACGGGCTGCATCAATTAGTTCTATAGTAAGTTACATTTCTGTATTTTCCAGAATGCCCAGTTATGTTTTCACATATTTGTCTTCATGCATCTTGAGAAAGCTTGTTTCCAGTTGATATGATTGATCTGTGGTCATTTCTCACTCTACTTTGATCCTCCTCGCTGTTATCCAGGTTTGCAAAGCTGCTCCTCCGGCTCCCAGCACTGCGCTCCATTGGTCTGAAGTGCCTGGAGCACCTGTTTTTCTTTAAACTGATTGGCGACACGCCCATTGACACCTTCCTGATGGAGATGCTTGAGGCACCACACCAGCTCACCTAGATGAGCCAGGTTCGGTCCGGTCAGGATCTGATGCACACCAGGATTACCGGCACGCCGCCCTGTGTTGGCTCACTGGCTCTTTTCGTTGGGCCTCACTTAACTGCAGCACCTGCTGGTTTTAATATACCAGCTCTCACACTTAAATACACACACACACACACACATATTCTGTCACCGGCTAATTACCTTCACACATGCAGGTCTTACCTTGAAAACATGAACGGACATACAACACAAGTAATTCACAGAAAATATGACTCTGAATGAACGTTATGCTAACACACAAACACACAGTAACACATACACACACGTTCACCATCTTTTCCCATACTCAGTTTTCCACTGGGGTTATGACTCAAGGAATATATTCACTTTTTTATCACACATGTACAGTGCATATCTTACTTTCAAGTTAGCAAGTTAGCCTTCAGTTCATCTCACAGTGGGTTTGTGCTTCTGCATAACTGGTATACTTTCGCTGTTTTTACTTGGGTTACTTAGTTACACTGCTAGGCTGCACCTCTGTATATTCTGTCCATCACTAGCCATTTATGGTTTTAGCTTAAAATCAGATGCGTAGCATTTCAATCAGCTAGTCACCATCAAACAAGTTCACTTCTTATTGGTCAGGAAGTGTGATGTAATGGGCCGGTGGACACACCTTCCCAGGGAGCTCATCCAGTCTCATAAATGTTGAAATATTTTATGAATATTTTTTGAATATTCATGCTGAAACTTGTCTGAGTTTCTGTTTTGAAGTACTGTACTCATGAAATGAGAGCTTTTTCCAAGGCATTGAAATCCAGGAAAATGAGGCTGGGAGCACTTTGTTGAACAAACTTTGTCCCTCCCACCCTGATGCGCACAGTGGGCTTTGTAAGACAAGAAGAATGATCTCACAGACATGCTCCACCATACATGGACATACGCAGTGCTTGATTTACATTGTTTTGAATGGATTTTAGGAAGGGATATTGTTATACCTGGAAAAATTCAGATGGAGGACTTAGTCTTGGGTTCAGTCTGTTGTCAGTAAAAAAGGAACTCATTCTGAAAAGTCTGCCCTGAAAAGATTGGACTTTCAAGCAGTTTTTTTTTTTTTTTTTTAAGTTTTGATGTTATCCTTTTCTCCACTTTGGCAGTTGGTTGGCATTTTAAACAGCTTGAGGCTCACAAGAAATCCCGCTTCATGCAAGTAGTATTTTTGTCTTTTATCTCCCGTTCCCCCATATCCTCCCTCTGCTGGTGGACATTTATGCACTTTCATGAGTTTTACTGTTTAAATGTTCCTGTTTCCTAGAAATGACCATTTGTTTTCAGATACCTAAGATTATCTTGAAGGTACTAGGTGTAGGGTTTTCTCATCATTCTATTGTCAAATCACCTGTGATGATTTGTTATAGAACTTTTTAAATAATTAGCAACTTGGTGCTCAGAACGAGGCTTTGGGAGTTCACAGTACCAGTAAAATGGCTGAGCGTTTTGGCAGGCTGCAGCTGTGTTAGTCTGTCATAACACCCAATCCAGCAGAAAGGCTTTTGTTCTTCATAGTTTGCTCTGTGTTCCTGAAATTGTCTTTGTATTGTGAACAGCAGAGGAACATAATTTTCTGTGCTTTGAGTAATTCTGCATATAGTTTGTCAGCCTGTATGAAATTTGTCTGGCCTATAGAGTAAAAAAGCAAAGTGTGCCATTAACCCTTCTATCGGGTATCTGTTGCACACCGAGAGCCACTGTCCCGAAGTCAAATTCCTCGTGTGTTCACTACACCTGGCCAACAAAGCTGATTCTGATTGAAGTGTCCTTGTACAACATACATAAGCAATTTAGGGAACATTACTTTCTATTCTAGATGCTGCACGCTGTTCTGTCTGTAAAATGAGGCGTGAACAACTCAATTTCTATGCAGCACATAAAACAGCAGCAGAGATCGGGAAATGTAAATACCAGCGGAAGTGATCTGGCAGTGGCAATAATACAAAATTTCATTTCACCTGGCAGATAAGTATCTGTAATACAGCCCCGTACTCATGGATGGACCAGTTGCTGGGGATATGGATTAGTAAATAGTGCACAGGTGTTTTCTGTGTGGTGTTACTGTAATGCAATAACAGAAGTATTTAATGCTATATAATTGGGGAATCCTACACCTACTACCTGCAGCTTCAGAAACTTTAGTCAGCATTAATTGGCTCAGTGCTTGTGGTTTTTGTACAGAAGATGTAAATAATACAAAAACCCATTCTCTTACAGAAACCAAGGCCTGTTGGCGCTCAGGTGAATGTGAAATGTATTGCTCAAACAGCCAGAGAAGCTGTTTTCTGCTCTTGAAGCAACATTACGCTTGCATCCCATGTGATGACATCAGCATGAAATAGTTCTTGAACCCAGGGCCAAACTACACCTCACTGCTGTTTTTGCACCAACTTCTGCCAACGTTTCCTGTTGTTCTTGGTAATTGATTGGCTGGATTTATTGACAATGGCACTTCACATTTACTGTGATTGAAATTTGTGGGCAACTGAATCAGATCACTGCAGTGAGAAGTCAAATGCAGCTACCACATGATCAGGAGATGTACGGCAAACTGAGTCTAGACGCGCTGGGGTACCCATAAAGATCTATTACAGTGTTAAAGTATGTAAAAGAGTGTTGACATTATGAGCTATCATAATAGTCACCACATTTACTAGAAATTAGAAATGTACATTTTGCAGTATCGCTCTACAGGGAAGAGGTACAGAAGTCCTCTACCAGGTGCTACATAACTAAAACGGTCTTTCGGTTTAAGACTCGCACAATTACATCAATGCAAACACAGTATGCAAGTACACAGACAAATCAGACAGCCATTCTCCACTCTTTGAACAGTTCTACCTACGTTGTAGATTTTCCTGGGTTCCTTTTTTTATTGTATTTTATGACCCCTAAATTTATTGCAGACTCCCAGCTATGGGAAATGAACACCAGCGAAGTGCTTGTATATTTAGGCTGTGGCTGATGAGCCGTTGTACTCTACCAGACACAGCTGGTTGAAGCAATGCAAGTAGCTGTTGAATTTTGGAGTCCACCAGCTAGAGAATGAGCTTCCTGTCCTGCAGATATTCCAAATACGTCTTCTCATTGAGGATTCTTGGTGTGCCCTATGTGATGTGGAGACAGTTAGGCAGGTAGATGACCTGTAAGACAGGTGGTTTGGTTTAACATGACAGTATGTTGGTCTAACCTTAGAGTTTGGTGGTGCTTCAGTTTGTCTTCATCCGTGCATATGTATGGCCAACTCAAAATAGTAGTCTCCAGATGTCCACTCATTTTCTACATGCAGATAAGTTAGCCCGTCCTCCATCATCACTGCCTCATTTTGGGCTTTGTTGGCAAAGAAAAGTGAGGTGTGGCAGGTTTATGATTTAGGTGACGAGCAACATCATCTGGTAGCATATGTAGCAGTATGGCCTCAGTGCTTTAGCAGCTTGAGTTGGTTCACATGAGGTAATACTAGCAGTCCAGATTTTGAGGAAAATGATTTTGTGGCAACCAGGTTTTGAGCTCTGTGGTCTGGATTAGAGCTCAGTTATTCTGAGACATTTAGTCTGTGGATTTAAATTTGCAAGTGCAACCTGCAATGAGCTTTTCCCCCCATGTCTCAGAGAGTAGGTTGACCCTTTGATGCAGGCTTTTGTAAATAGTCCCATCTTCTGTTAGGTTAACATCTCGCCAACTTTCTGTGTTTATTTCTAAAGCTTCCTCTGTTGAATGTTTAAGCTTGCTGCTGTTGCTGGGGATGGGAATGATTAGTCATGTGGTGGAGGATCCACTAGGTGACATTAAAGTTAATAGTCACATACACACATGAAGAAGCATGTGTAATGCAATAGGTTTATTGTTTCTGGCATTTGTAGTTTTTTGTTCAGTCTGTTAAAAAAGTTCATATTAACTGGCAGTAAAACGATATTTCGAATTCCCATCCCTCCATATAACAGCAATGCATTTTACTTTTGCTGTGACATTTCTTCACATTCTGCTTAGTGAGTTGATCATTTAGAGTTAAAAAAAATACTATACAGTGAGTACAGGTTCTGGACGCTAAGCCACTTTCAGCTTTGCGGACCATTTTAACAATTGTTGGTGGTTGGGTTTTTCACTTTTTAGCATTTGTTACAGTGTGGTCATGTGACTGGACGCTGTCTACAGCTATGCCTTTTGAATGGCAGATACTGTAGCTTTGGATATGATGTGCTGTTAAATCAATTTGTTGTGCAAAATGATGAAAGGATGCACAGGAGAAAAGGTGTGATTAGCCGGCCTGTTGGCCTGATGCTTTATCAGCATAACTCAGCCTCCTCCCTTCCTTTACTTTGCCCCATCTACACTGCTTTACTTTAAACTTAAAAAATGCTTTTTCAGTCACATGGGCTGAAAATTATTGGATTTTCTTTGGAACAGATTTGTAAAATAGAACTATGATTTTTGGACTGTTTTAAAAAGGATGTGAAGCTCTTCGCTGTGTTGGAGAGCTGTAAGGAAGGGATTCAGTGCCGTGTATCCCTCTTTGCGAACTGTACTTGACGGCAGAGCAGCAACGATCTGTGGTTGCCGTGGGAGACCGCTGGATTGAACCGCACCGCCCACAAATGTTTGTCGTTGCAACCATGTGCACTCAAGGCAGACGCATGCTGTGACCTTTTGACTGTGTAGCAGTATGGTTGTTGCCATCTTTGTTACATTTTGAAATTTCTCACTTTTTGAAAATAAAAACTTTTTTTTAACAAATGGATCGCAGGCTGTGACTGAAGAATTGATCAGCGTGTATAGATTAGATATCAAGGGGCATTCTTACCTGTTGACCCAGGCTATCCTGTTAGGATCCATGAGGCGCAGTGTGAGCTATGCAGCCTGAAACCACCACCCACGGTTTAATTTTTCACTGCCGAGATTTTTGCAGATGTGGCCAAATTCAATGCAGGGCCACTTAGTCCCCAGTGCTTGTTTATCATGTATGTTGTGATTATTGTGCAGCACACTAAAGAGTGTGCGTTGTCCTCGGCCTGTGTGCATATTTAAGAGGGGCCCTGATAAGAATGGGGTGATGGCTTTTGTGGAGAGGGGACAGCTGGTCACATGAGAGAGAAGTAGACCAGTGTGTGGCCCCCTCTGGGTGCTCGAGCTGTGCATTGGTGCTCTTTGCAGGGTTCCCCAGCCTGGCACCATCTGCTTTGGTTTCCAGTACACAGGGAAATGCAAATGAGAAAAGATGGTAACAAGGTTAGCTTAGCCTAGCTCTAGCCCTGCACTTCTTCAGTTGGTTTTGGTTGGGTGTAAACGGGACTCCAGAAAACTGCCACGTTTTTCTGTGTTGGAGTCACGTGTGGCTGTAGCTGGATACTACCAGCAGTAAAAACAAAACCTTCAGATTCTGTTTTAGAAAATGGCGGTGAAACTGTGGGTCTAATTGTACACACACACACTGTCAATGCCACTAAAATCCACTGGTCTGGTTTACAGGCAACACCGCTGGGCACGATCTGGTTGATCAACTGAATACGACCACTCTCCTTAAGGAGGAGTTGTGAAGTGTTGGAGCATGAGGGAAGAAAGGAAGGGCAGAACTCTGATCAGGTGTTTGTTTGTTGATCTAGAAGAGAAACAGAAAAACCTATTTTCCAGTAGAACTAGCATCTTCCTAAATTGTTTACCCTTCACCTTAAAAATTTCGGACACTTTCTTGTTTTCTGTCTTTCTCTTCTCAAACAATGCTATTCATCTTTTGTTTATTACAGAGTATTAAATACAAGAACTGTAAAATCAGAATGGAATCTGTCACTCTTTTTTTGTTTTCTCTTTCTCTTATGTCTGTTCTTTGTCCTATTTGTATCCTACTCCATCATACA